GCGAGTGCATAGGGAGAGTAGAGATTTGCTGTGGCTCCCATGTTCGCCATTGCCGAGCTGCAGATCCGAGGGCAGTAGCCGGCGCGGATTTTGCGCATGATGTGGAGCTTTACGGTCAAGATTGGCATGAGAATGTGCTGCAGATTGCTGGCTTGAGTCCACACGCCGTGAACGCCCTGTCACTGGATTTTGGCCCGCAACCTTCAACTTCAGACGAATCGCATGGCTCTAACTTTAGCTCTCCACCCTATATGTCCTGCACCTTCTTCAAAGTTTTAAGACACTAAGCCACAAGCCGAAGCCCTCCACTTTCAGCTAGGCATGAGCTCTGTCCCCCTAGAGTCACATACAACCCTATAGACAGAAGACTTGTGATTTGTGTTTTACGGAGTGCTATGAACTTGTTTTATTCTCAGCCTTTAGACCCTAAGCCCTACGCAATCCTTCGCTTTTCAGGTTCTGACCGTTCAGGGCACACTGGCCTTGGCCTATGCAGACACGGGCCGGCGCAAGGAGGCCGACTGAAGGGATAAAGTACGTAGGTGATCACGATGACAGTCTTAAAAATTGACCTTAATTTGTAGCATCATGTAGCGTACTGTGTTGCCATCCGTGCAGATAGTTCGAGTCGTTCCGCTGTCGTTTTATCAATGGGCTTAAAGCGGAGTTACGTTATGCGGCTGCCACCCTTTGTAGGCCATGGTTCTTGCAAATGATTTCGAGTCGAGAAACGGCCTTGATTTTTGCTTTCTTTGGCGGTATTAAACCGTCCATCTCAGACAATCATAGAAAGTCCATGTCAAGCAACGCTTTCAGAGGACAGCCAACTCGCCTGAATCCACGGTTCATGAGTCCAAGAGCCGTTCCAGACCAGCGAGAATGCTGCAACAAAGCGTGTTATCATACTCGAGCAGAGCTGTACAAGGGAACATCGGAGGACATGTAAGAGGTGCTTGCAAGCAATAGGAATTTCGAAGAGTGCCTCGAAGCACAAAATCCCGAAGTGGTAGTTCTTATCTAACCTTTTTGAGCCTGTAGCATGTGAATGCTCGGCAAAGCTGCGCATATACGCACGTGCTACCAATGTTCACATGTTCAAGCGTAGAGGCTCGTCTCAGTCGCGACCCAGTCCCCCAATCTGACCTTTGATGTACTTCTGCTCTCTAGGGAGATGCCCTGAACTCTGAACCCTAAACAGACGTGGTGCAGGGACGCTGCATGCGGTTCTGCGCGCAGCCATTGAAAAGTTGGTGGCCGTCACGATGGCCTCCGTGCAAGCATTCAGAGCATATCTAGTGTTTGGCAATGTTCAACAGCACGGAGATTGAAAGCTCGGAGCAGAATGCTGTAGCAGCTGTCACTCGAAGTATGTACTTATAATAACCGCCCAACAGCCATGATCTCCGATCCCGATCTGTCAGCTTTTTTCGCTATGCCAAGACAGGGACCAAACACAGAACCGGCTCAAAGTTCCGATTCGTCAGCCAAGGTTCAGGCACTTTATCAAGGACAAAACCACCTGAGGTTTGGCGGCGGAAAAATGGTCCTTGATTCTGCCCATGATGGTTGCTTCCATTTGCTTACTAATTACACTTTGAGGCTGGTAGTTAAACGAAACCCTAAACCCCCATGTTTGGAGCCTTGCCTGCCTTGTGCGAAAGTGTTAGTCCAAACCCCCTGTTCCGTTGATGCTCCGAGATTGAAAGCAATAGATTCAACGTAAACCCTCCTGCAGTGGGAGAGGCTTGCAAGTGTCTTTACCTATGTTAACATTTCCAATATATGCGTATCTACATCGAAATCTAGATCTATACCTGCGTCTATTGCTATATCTATATAATTTTCTCTGTGCGTGTATATATATATATATGACAGGGGGATAGAGAGAGAGTGAGAGAGAGAGATAGAGAGAGAGAGAGAGAGAGAGAGAGAGAGAGAGAGAGTGAGAGGGAGAGGGAGAGAGAGAGAGAGAGAGAGAGAGAGAGAGGCAGAGAGCGAGGCAGAGAGCGACACATTACACCGGACATGTCATGGGGGCTGCAGAAATTGAGAGGATCTGCTCCACTTGCCGGTGCTTCCTGAGATTTTGTACTCTGTCAGCATGTGTCGGTGTGATCCATGCCCAGGAGCTGGCACCAGACTCGAAGTCATTAGCTCTTCTGAACAGCCAGACACCCACTGAAACCCAGAGGCCTCGTTGCATGCAGCACGAAAGGTTGACATGAAGGACCTTTCCATGCTAGGCGCTATGCATACAAAGTGCTCGGGATCAGACAAGTATCATCGCGTGCGGTCCAGCGTTTGCGCGGGCTTGGAGTCTCTAGATGAAGAGCTTCGCCTGATGACGTCCCGAAACCTACTAGGTTGCTTTGTCGGGAAATGCTTCAAAAAATATATGGGATTCTCATAGTCTGAGTGACCCTGATATAGCCCTTGAATGGTAGGATCCTCGATACAATGAACCCTCAACAAAGATCCTTTCATCTCAGAAACCCTCGCATGCATGCACACCGAGAGGCTGAGACCCATGCTGCCTTTGCAGATACGATTGCAAATCTTCGAGAGTCAGGACCCCGGCCTGTTGACTCTTTTAAGCGTTGCTTTTCGGGTCACTACAAGGGGCTCTTGGGTTCATGGTTTGGGTTCCAGCGTTGTTGGTTCGGTAGGTTTTGGGCTTGAGGTTTAGGGTTTGGTGCTTTCTAGTTCAGAGCATGGTGCCTTCTGTGTGTTTTCCAGTTGTACATACACATACGCATGCGCTTGTGCATCGGCATGTGGTTCCTGGACCTGGCGTAAACGAAATTCACGAAAGAAGCCCAGAACGCATGGATAACCTGGATTAAAGAGAGCATGCATCAAGGGTTCAGTCATCTCTACGCACAGCGGTGGGTGGCTTCAAGGTCGTGGAATGGACGCACAGCCGCGTTAGTCGGCAAGTGGTCCCGCACCAAGCTTTCCGAGCCGCTGCTTTCCCAAATAAAGCCCCGAGATCCGTCTCGCAAGATTATCTCCAAGTGTACCGAAGGCAATCAGTATTGTAGCTGCTGGGCCCTCTTCAAAATCCTCTATCCCTGCCGCCGAACTGGCCTTGCAGCCGAGACTTCAACGGTGCAAGTGAAATACATCAAGCCTCATCAAATACACCCGAAAACCCAAATATCCTAAGCTCGATATCCTACACCCTGTGGAGCCTTGCCAGCCGTGTGCGAGTGGGAGTGTCGAAGAAACCCTGTACCATGGGAAGCAAGCCCCCAAACTATTCCCATGTGCTTAGTAGGGATGGCGGAATGGATCCTATAGTAGCCCCTATATAATCCCCCCCAAAAAATCTCCATAAATCCATTCCCCCATTCCCTACTAAGAACCAGACAGTCTTGGCATTCCGAGGCCAGAGGGCGTGCCTCAGGCCGGGAGCTGGCTCTTAATAGCACTACTACAGGGTTTTTGGGCTAAGGGTGCTTGGGTTTCCGGCGTTTGGGGGTGTTGGGCCTCGGGTATTCGGTTATACGGTTTGGGATTTAAGGTCTATGTAGGGTTTAGGGTTGCGGCTGCTGCTACTACTGCTACTGCTACTTCCATTACTAGTACCACGACCACTACTACCTCTACCTTTACCCCTGCCACTGGCACTGCCACCACGACGACGACTGCTACTACTGCGATGTTCTCTGCCACTTAACGTTCAGGATTTGGCAGCTGCATTTACTGCTAGGTGGCAACACTCGTGAATCACGCTGTTCTTCCCAATCCTGCTGTGCTGGCGAACGGCATTCCGATGTAAAACAATGGCTGCACAGACGGTAACGATGAAGTTGTGGACAATGAGCAACATGAGGCCGCTGCTGATGAGGTTTGTAGTGCATGATGATGCTAAGGCTGACAAACGGCTTGGCAATCATTAAGATGGTAAGGTTTCAGTTCTTCTGCTGATGTTGTGGATGACATTATTACATTCGTACATTTTTATGTTCTTGCATTATCATGTGGTTTGCTATTGTATTACTACATTATCACATCTTGATGGGGGATGACGAGGGTGTTGGCCCCCGAAGTCCAGGCCGTGCTGGATCTCATCTCACGGGGTGTGAAGCGGAAGGTGCCTCTGCCGCAGCCTATATCAGGGTTTCAGGAGCTGAGGTTTAGGCAAAGTGTGGTTTGCCACTTTAGGGGTTTAGGGCCCCATAAATCCCAAAAGCACAGTGCTCTCATGAAGATTCTGAAGGCCATCTGTTTATAATCCCTTCAACCCGTATCAGCCGCACAATTCTGGGGTTTGGGCCGGCAGCTCTGGCTGGCGATCCGACTTGGATCCTTCCGGGACACTTGTGAGTACTATGCTTTCTCTGAACATACTGTGAAACTCACGGTTTCTAGAGAAACCCTAAGTCATGAACCATGTGTTGAATCAGAAGAAAGCCCATCACCTTCATTCTTTGGAAGTATTCGGGATTATTGGGGATTCCTGATTCCACCCAAAACCCTAAACCTATGAACCAAAACCCCAAAGCAACACAAACCCCAATACACTGCTCTAAGATTCCTCGCGAAGCACTCTAAACCCGATTATGAAGCCCATATTAGGGCCCTTACCCCAGCACGAACGATGTGGAGGAAGTCTCTTGGCTCCTGCAGGTCGCGGCTTCCATCGCCGTCCATCCGCCAAAGCGCCTCAGACCTTTTAGTCTCGAGAAACGCATGGCGGGAGAAGAGCTTGGGAAGCCATTTCTCAGTATGAATGGTTAATATTCTAGTATGAATGGTTAGTATTCTATGTGTATATATATATATATATATATATATACATATCTATGCATATGTATAGGCTGTATAGGGTTACATATGGACGGAGACTTGCTACTCTAGGGGCAACAAGGCTTGAAGGATGAACAATGCTGGCCCAGACGTGCTCAAAGAGCAACACTTGCAAAGCCGCGGTAGCCTCAGCCGGCACGCTGAGTGTGGGAACCCCAGCCAGGTATTATGCCTTGGTGAGCTTTCTCATGGAGTGGATGCGCTGTCCGGCAGCTTTCGAGGCCTGACAGGGGAAATGCATATGCTCTTGTTTGCGCGGACGACAATCTGCGACTATGCTGCACCTGGAATACACATGCAGGGGACCTTCAGGGCAATGGGGAGTACTACTGTACTACTGTTATTGCTCCTCCTCCTCCTACTCTACTACTACTACTACTACTACTACTACTACTACTACTACTACTACTACTACTACTACTACTACTACTTCTACTACTACTACTACTACTACTACTACTACTACTACTACTACTACTTCTACTACTTCTACTTCTACTTCTGCTACTACTACTACTACTACTACTACTACTAATACTACTCCTGCTGCTGCTGCTACTACTACTAGTACTAGTACTACCACTACCACTACCGCTACCGCTACCGCTACCGCTACCGCTACCGCTACCGCTACCGCTACCGCTACCGCAACCACTACTACCCCTTCTGCTACTACCGCTCCTTTTGCAACGACGACTGTTACAATGACTTTTGTACGCAAGTCCCTCCAACTTTTCGTGCGGATTGTCTCGTGAGAATGCTTCGTAGATTGGCCGCCTCGAGCAGTTTTGCCGTGGCAGGCGATGAGCATCTACGTGGTCTTCCAATTTAAACAGGACTGGAGTTTGGCTTTCTAGGGTTTAATTACAGAGGTTACGGTTGAAGGTTGAAGGGCTCTTGAGGGTTTTGGGGTTTAGAGAGTTGGCAGGGGTTTCGAGTTGTATGATGGTAGTTTAGCTTTCAAGGCTCGGCCAGGTGCGTAGATTGGACACATAAGGAATGATGCAGCGGCTGTGTTCCTCAGTGCCCCATTGTTTCCTGCGGCCGCTCGTTTCGGCCTGGTTCTTTGTGGCTCGAAGGGTACAAGCTGAGTACCTGCACAATTGAATGCCGCACCTTACAACACGCAAGACAGCCTGTCCTCATAGCACTGTACCACGTTGCAACGCCGCACAGTCTCCGCCAGGTACTTGGCACCTTTTCAGTTTTTTCCAGCTTCACGGTTCGACTTCCATTCCACAACGACATCATACCCAATTTTTCGACAACAAAACGTTGTGGAGTACGTGGGCAAGGCAAGAAGGATTACCTGGCATGCCGCTTCAATCGTGCATGCTTTGGCCATTTCCGTGGTCAACAGGCCACCTGAGGAAGACATAATTCAGTCGCAAGCTCCACTGAGCTAAGTCCAATGATAGGGCTGAGTGCTTAGGGACTTGAGGTTGGGGTTTAGGGTATATAGGGTCTACAGCGTCTCGCTTCCGAAACTGACTCAGCATAGTTTCAAGGTTACTCACGTGCTTCCTGACTCACGCCATGCGGGTATCGACTCTACAGAGTCGACAGGGTTTAGGGGCCAAAATTGATTCATCAAAATCTCAATACTGGATTCACAAGTTGTACCCTTTTGCTTTGGTTCCTGATTCTCGATGGGTATAGACTTGGGCACCTAGAATGCCCCTGCAAGGACTTGAAGCTTTTCAGGGAAGCGCTCGACTGCGTTGGCCGTGCCCTAAGTCTTTACCACGAGACGCCAACTCTTCACTGAAGGGCGATGGTCAATGCTTCAATATGACATAAGTTCGATCAGTCCATAAAAACAAGTATGCACATGTGCATAGACAGGAAAGAAGATAAACACATAGATAGCATTCGTTCGTAGTCGCTGTACATGTGCGACTTATGACACAGGCTTCTCCAGGTCTCCAGGTCAGAAGTCAATGCTCTTCAAGCAGAAAATAACTAACAGCCCTGTGACTACAAGGTAGATAAGCATCCAGGCCGTAAAGGTCAGTCTTGAGTCCGGTTCCGGGTTTTGGGTTCATTGGGGAAGCGGGGGAAAGGGGGCTCTTGCTGTAACCGGGCTGCTGGACAACGAGGCCTGCTGCAAAAAGGATTTTTTGGGGTGAAGGGGTCAGGTGTAAAGGGGGTTAAGGGTTCAGGAATTCCGGAATCCCGGTTGGGAGGTTTGCTCACGAGGTTTGAGGTGTGCCTAGTAACCGGGCAGGAGCAAGAATGCCCCAAGTCCAAAACTGAATCCAGACTTGTCAAATCTTGCCAACCTCCAACAACTGACATGAAACGCTGATGAGTCTGTGACCCCAACGCCTAGATTCCTAGATCGTGAAACCTGTTAGAGGGGCAAACTCTGAATCCTTCAAACCCTGTGTTGCTGAATCTTCAACGCCCCAGATACCCTAACCTAAATCCCTGCAGCCCCTGGCACTCCGGAACTCTGGGTGCCCATCATTGCCTCAGAGCCGAAGAAGGGTTGGCCGGGCGCCTGAGAACATCTTGGGAGTCTAGAGCATTGGAGCCCAGCACATGAAAACTTATCTTCAATCTTGATTTCGGTTGACGAGTGCTCAGAGGTGGGGAAATCGCGATTTGTTCAGGCTCAGCTTTTGTTAACAGCGGTTTTGGAATTTCTGTTTTGGCCAGTGCCTTTTAGCGTTCAGACCCGCGCAGACCCGATTTCCTGCACAAGTCAAGTTCAGTACGTAAGTTTGTATGTAGCCGTAGATCACTTCAAACTATCGGAGTTCTAGCTTTAGTTATAAAATCATGAGAATGCACCCAGGAATTTTCATTAATTAATTAGGTTGTGTTGAGACTATACCTGTAATTAACTCCCTTCTCGAACTGCCTCATTTAATTCTAACTAGACTTCACAAAAACGAACGATACAGAGAAGATTAGCATGGCCCCTGCGCAAGGATGACACGAACAAATCGAGAAGTTTACCGAGCCCCAACCCTACCCCTAACCCTGAACCCCTAAACCGAATCGATAAACCTTCCAAGGATGAAGGCCGTGGGCCTCGGAAACCAGCAGAGGCCTCAGGCAGTGGCGGAGTTTTGAGCCTTTTTGAGGCTTTCGGGCGTGTAGATGTGGGGCATTTGGTATTTGTGTTTGTGTTCGATGGTCAGCGTCGTCTTTTTGTCAGCTGTTCGCCTGTTCGCCACTGCAGACTCTGGCTGCGCAGCCAGGGTTTCCGGGCATCGGTATTGCTGTGCAAATGTTGCTAGCTGCTGGTGGGTGTTATCCAAGCAAGGCTTCGAAAGGAGTGTGCTAATCTATCCTACATGGCTGCGCTGTGGGTGCAAGCTGAAAGGCCGGTTTGACTAAGGCGTGTCGTCGGCTAACGCGGGTCATCTCCACAAAGGGCAAGCATTGCATTTCAGGATTGTCAGGTTCTGTTATATGTGTTCACTTGTTGTTGTGTGATGTTTGTTTGTCACACACTATGGTGATTACTGAGGCAGGTTATACATCTGTGGATCCACATCGCAGTGCGCTGTTTTTTTGAGTCAACCCTTCTCCCAGACTTATGACGGACGGGGTTGCTTTTCATTAGCATCGGGGCTGCTGCTGCAGACAGCAATCACCAAGAGTACATACTGAAAGCACCTGTGGGATGTTTCCGGAGCATGGCAACGTGTGTGAAACTAGGCCATGCTCATTCTAGAACACAACGAGCCCGATCCGGCACAAGGCTACGGTAGAAAGCTTGCCGCGATCATTGCCTTACTATTACTTGTCGTTATTGCTATGATTAGTACTGTCACGGTTAGTCTTGTTGTTGTTCTTCTTCTTCTCATTATTGTATGTTGGGCCCACTACAGCAAAGCTGTATAGGCTCATGCCTTGGGAAGCAGCAGGGGGACACTTTCGATGTGTGCTGAAGTGGCTTCCTATAGTTTGCACACATGCACATGCACACGGTTTCCATGGGCTCATGCATTCGTGCGAACACTTGTTAAAACCTCTACATTACTTATATGTCTGTGTGTAGCTATTTGTTTGACTGTTTGATTGCTATTTACATTCATCTATTTATCCATCTTGGTACCCATCCAGAGACAGCATGAGCCCCAAGACTCCGAAAACGGTGGGGGCAGCGCGACGCCTAAGGTTCATCGCGGCCTTCAAGAAGTATTGGGGTCTGCGCCCAAGGTTTAGAGAGCGCCCCAGCTGAGCAGTCAGTGCTAAACCCCTACTAATCCCCTAAACCTAAGCCCCAATCCCCTAATCCCTAATCCCCGCAAAGGCCATGCTTAGCTGTGCTCCAGCCCAAGAATCACCACCTCGAGAGTCCCCGGTGCTTTCTCATAGAATATACCCCGGATGTAGCTATGGAAGATAGGATAATGTACCGCGAAGCCCTGTCCTAGGTATGTAGGCCGCTATATTCCCCTAAATCATATTACGCCAAGGCCGGGGGATTGTTTGTGGTCTGGGGGTTGATGCTTGAGGAACAGGGTCCGCCTCTCGCTGACATTTGGCTCCTGGTTCCGTGCATCTTTTGCTGAGACAGGTCGGGGCCGGGACTCTTCATGTTCTTCAGCCGAAGCGCATCTCGTTGTCTAGCCGGGCGCATAACGGCAAATCAGTTCAGAGATGGGAAAGTCAGAGTTCTGTGAGAGTTATACGGTTCAACTGTTTCCACGTACGGTTGGAGAGGCTCGACACTTCTAACGAATTGGATGAGGCTTCGCGGTGATTTGAATTTCGGCTGTAGACCTTCGAACGTCTTGGAGCCATGGACGGTGCGCCAGTGCCTCTGGATGGAAGTGAGGCCATTGGTTTATTGTCTACGGCTGGGGCAGTCCGATGTCTAACTGCTTGCGCATGTCGCCAAAACGACGGCCGTTACCACCGTCGGTTGGCTTTTGGAAGTCATGGTCGTCCCGGCTACCTATTTCAATTATCATCCTCACTGCTCACCCTCATGATCGTTTGCAGAAACGTAGACATCTCCTTGGTAACTCGTGTTTGACGGCAACGCCGTCATCATGATCCTCGTATTGTCAGTACGCCCGTACGGATGGTTACCTTCGGCTTCCCCGTCGTCATCATCATAGTGAACATTCCGATAAACACCAGTGCCAAAACACCGAGCAATCACGAAGTGACGTGACCGTGCGCATCATCTGCGAATCGTTGTCACCATCACCATAGTGAGGTGCATGATCCTCGAAAGCACAATCATCCTGGTCAGCACCGTTTTCATTGCTCTCGCGTGCTCACTTTAAATCATCATGGTAATCGCCGTCGGCATTGCCATGAACATCGTCATCGGCACCAGCGTCGCCACAATCATAATCATCATCGTCATCAACACCAGCAAATAATTGGCAACAGCAGAATCGATATTACCACCACCATGACCATTACCATCAGCGCTCACGCCGTCGTCACCATTTGTGCGCCCTTCTTCGTCAGCGGCCCAGAGGCACCCTCAGCCCTAAGGCCTCAATGTCGTAGAATCGGGTGGGATCCTCTCTTCCAAGCGACTGCGCGAAATTTATCTCAATACATGTTCGATTGAAGTTGTAGCATGTCGGGTTTGTGGTTCAACCTTACCTGACATGAGGCAGCCACATTGATGCGATTTCACCTTTACTCTCATTTGAGCAGGCATGCCTTGGGCAGCCGCTGTGTTTAAAAAACGTAGACACAACTGCGACACTGAAAAACGGCTTCCTGCTGTATGGCATATCGACTGATGGCCTGCTTCCCGGTGGAGAGAATGTATGCCTGGATGTAGGGATGCTGTTCTGGACAGCTTCCTCGGACTCTGCAAGTAGTGTCCAAAGTCCGCAGTGTCGTCTACCTGAGTTTCAGCACTCAGAAAATGCCTGGCCTGCTTTCAAGATCGGCTTTAGGCTCGGGCACAGGCCTTAACCGCTTTACTTCGCTGAAGTTGTTCAAGAGGCTCATACGTGTTTGTGTGTCTGCACAGGCATTCGTGACCTACGGCCGTGGTCTCCTGTGCCTGGGCGTGATAATTGCAAGTCCGGATTGCCAGGAGTCGGGGTCGATGCTGCACAGGGCTCAAATTTTCTATGTGCGGACTTCTCGGTATGGTTTTACTTGGTGATTTCGTATAGGTGGTGCGATCTGATCTGTTGGTTGAGCACGATTTGTCCTTCCGAATCTGCAACCTCAGTAACTGGCCTGACATCACAAATGCAGTCGACACGCCTGCTGTTTGGCGGAAGACTAAGCCAAGCTGCGCAAGTAACACATTTTGCCTATCACGGCCTTTAGGACTGTAGGACTCTCAATGCTGTTTTGGGTAAGCCTTTCCAGATGCAACCAGATTGAAGCGCCAGCCGTACCGAGCCTGGGCAAAGGAAGGTGTTCAACGCCGCAAAGAACTTCGGCTTCATCTCCCCAGTCTTCAAAGGCTGGGAGTCCTGTGGCAGTACTGCACATCGCACTGCATCGCGTTGATGCTGGTAATACTTTTCATGCACACGTGCACGCGTCCGTCCGTGTGTGCGTGTGCGTGCGTGCTTGCATACGCCCATGCATGCGGACCTAAACATGTATACACATACATCGCATGCAGACTTGCAGGCGTACAGGCGTGCCGGCGCATGCACATAATTAATCCATACATTAGTACATGTATGCCTGTATGTTTGTGTGTGTGTGAATGTTTGTGTGTATGTATGCATAGGTATGTATGCCTGGATATATGTATGTATGTATGCATGTATGCATGTCAGCATATAAGAATATGTGTAAGCATGTATGCAACGCATGTATGCAGGACTGTCCGTCTGCCTGCCTGCCTGCCTGCCTGCCTGTCTGTCTGCCTGTCTGTATGTCTGCATGTCTGCATGTATGTGTAAGCATGTGCATTTATAACTACGTATATGTCTATATATAACTATAAAGATATACTAGCTCTACTATGCAACAAATGAACAGAACACGGGTTAGAGGTTCAGATGTGCACAATGGCTTGCCACCAGCCGCAGGTGCCGCGGATGTCGAAGGCCCGCCTCTTCCGCGATCGGTAGACGAGGGCATCTGGCCGCCGGTCGGCAACGATAATCGCCGAGCGCTCGTCCGTCTTCGTTTAAGGATAATTTGGATATAGGAGATTTAGACGGCGTTAGGGTTTGCGGTATCTGGGTTCGGGTTTATTCGGGTTTGGGGGCATTGGGGTTCAGGGTTTCAGCGATTGTAGGCCTTAGATCCCCAACCCTAAACATCTCCCAAACCTCCCTTCCTGTCAGGTTGGGCTTCTACAAGTAGGGTCTAGGGCTTTAGGGCCTTGAGGTGGCAGGCCAGTTGCAAAAGGATTGGGATACATGGTTTCAGTATGTGACTCTAAAAGGTTCTGAGGTGGAGTTGCGGGACCGAGAACTGAAGATTGGTGCAACCTTGAAGCAGTGAGGCATGTTGGTGCTAGCCTTGCAGTGAGGGTGCCCGCACTGGTCGCCCCCGAAACTTCAACCATCCTGAAGCAGTTGAAATTGTTGGTTTCTTCACTGCTTTTGTTTCGCACGCCACTCCGGAACTCATGAAGCCTCGCCACAAGTCCCCAAACTCGATAGGCCAAAACATAAGTCTTCAATCCGACAAATTCCGGACCGCTAACTCCAGGCCCTAATTAGGCCCTGCAGCTCAAGCCTGAAACCTGTTAAACCTATGCCCGTCTCTGCACTGAGGTTCTTTGGAAATCATTCTCTCCCCTACCGTGCCATCCCGGGTGTTGAGCTGACTTTCGAGATTTGGGAGAATGCCTCTGGAAAAGCACAAGCCAGGCCAGGCAGCTTGGAAACCCAACTGGAGTCTAGTAGGATGGCAGGAGCATCCTGGAGGGGTTCTGTTTAGGATTTATGGGGTTTAGGGGTGTTTTGGGGTCGTACAGGTATTGAAGAAGGTTGAGAGCAAGGGCGTTTTGGGTGTACAATGTTCAGAATTAGTTCAGCGTGTTAGGTGCCAGCGCCCCCTTACCGTGGCTTTCCTGGTAGTATAAAACGGATTTGAATTACTGTGCGTCTGGAACTATGGACCCCGCCTCCAGACAACACCAACTCGTGGTGACGATGATGACAGTGAAGAAGAAGATGATGATGTTGATGACCATGACAACCTTGTTCATGCTGCAGTTGAAGCAGATGACCTGGATAAATATGACAAGCCCAGGCGAATGATGACCAGGATCATGACATTTACGACCCTTGAACTCGCAACAGGGAGATGCTGCGTTATTGTGCGATGTTTACGCTTTTCAGCGTCTTCGAATGCGTCCGTCGTGAAGTGCACTCGGTCGTGACCCCTGCGAGTTACTGAGCACAGACCCGTGCTTGGCCATCTTAAGCTGCTATTCCGCAGCATACTTTAGCATTGTTTTGCTTTGCCCATCCGGTCTTATCGCATTGTCTGTCGATCCTGCCTTAGCTGCCCCTTTTGCCTTGCTGCTTCGTTTTTGTTGAAGTGAGACGGGGCTGGTGTCTTAATCTAGTATCTCGAAGGAACAGGAACCATCTACGTGGGCTTGCAAAGTCTGACCATCATTACTTAGGTCCATTTCTTGAGCGGCATTTCAGTGCAATTCAAGACCAGACGACTGAAATGCATGTAAGACTTTGGTGTCGAGGCCTGGGGCCTTAGTCCCGCAATGCTCTAAGTTTTATTCTGGTACATGGATACGAGTGCAGTATTGAAGCCACAGTCCCTGCTTGTCTGAGTCGCGAGAGCATAATGCCTAAGCAGTGCAGCTGTTGACTGCCACTGTTGACATTTTCACAGACTCGGGGCTCCAAAAAAGCAGTCAAAGCCCCGAGAAGCATGGCGAGTCGAGCTCATTGCCGAAATTCTCGAGGCTCTTTGTTGAGAAGGGGCCTAATATGAGTTTACAGTTTACACTATGCAGAGGCTACTAGGTTTTCTTCATGAAACCTTGCTGTCAGGAGGCAAAAACCCTGCTGTCTCAGCTTTTACATTTTACAACTTGATTCGCAAGAATCCAGACTCATGGGGCCTTGAGGGGGTAGGGGGAGGGGGGTACGGGGCCTTAATGCCCATCATAAGGAAGTATAGTCCCCCAAACCCCCCTCCCCCTTACCCCCCTAAGGGTCCCTATGACAGACTCGTAGCGGAAGCAGGAGCGTCTCCATCGCCGCGGAGCCGAGTGCCGTCGTGCCGGTGGAGCAGAAGCAGGAGATCCAGCATCATCCGATGCCCGAGAAGGGCGGCCATTGGGATAAAGGCCATTGGGATAAAGGCCATTGGGATGGACGGTTTAGGGTTTAGGGGAATACGGGCATATGAGGGTGGCTGGTTCTATAGAAGGTTTAATGTGATTAGCTTCTTGATGTAAGGACGGGAGAGCGGATGAGAGTGAGTCTGTTTGATTCCAGCCAGATGTGGTTCAAAGCCGAGCTGATGTTTGGATTTCGACCTCCTCACACATGGTTCAATTAGGGTGTATAGTATGCGCTACCGGGGTTGCAGATTGATTAGGGTTCCGGGCAGTTTGCTTGTCTTCGAAGCAGGATTGGAGGTTCGGAATGATCGCCACACCTCGGGCGTTTTGTCTATTCGAGTCGGATTTCCAGATCATACGGTCTAGGTAGGGTTCAGGCCCGACTAAATGTTTGCTGCATGTCCCAGGTCAGAAACCATAATACTACGTAATATTATCAGGGTATCCAGCCTAAAAGTTTCCGCCTTGAGCCGGTGTAAACTAACACGCTTGCAGAAGCCCCAACCGGAGGTGGCGGCAAAGGGAAGGGATCTCAGCTACATCCGAACGAGCCGCGAGTGAGCCCTGGATGCTTTTGAGGCTTTGGATTTCCGGCTGGAGGTTTGCCGCCCTGTTCACGTTATGATTCAGGGTTGAGGGCTCAGTTACGGGTTGAGGGTTGAGACAAGACATCTTAAACCCGAAACCTTAAATCCTATTCAACATCCCTCCTAAGGATCTACCCTTCTGTCTATGTCTCCGACGTCCCAGTGGAGTGGAACGAGGCTGCCACCAGTCTACATGCTCCACGCGCAGACTCCAAACTGCTGAATCGAATCTGCACGTTGCGAATCGGACGGACATACAGTGAGTAAGGTAAAAGCAGGGCCGGCACATACCCGGAGCCGGTTGAATTCATCCTAGGCCTTTGCGTGCCCTTGCTTTTGATCGAACTTACTTTTCCACTTCTCCAGGTAGGCACCAATTGGCTTTGGGCTTCATGTGTGAACCAGAGTAGAATTTCCGAGGTCTGGCTGTAAAATCGGCACATGTTAGGGTTTGCTGTTTGCAACAGGCCAACTCTGTAAACCCTTTGAGTCCATCCCTCGGGCCCAACAAGCAGTCGTCTCTGTTGGGCCCTTAAGTCCCAAATGCAAGACCCTTAAGTTTATGTGCTTTCGGCTTGTTTTGTGTGTGTGGGGGGGGGGGGGGGCGGGGCTTTAGTTTACAACGGTACCGTTGGTATTTCTTTGCCCTGCCAGAGTTGCTGGCTACATTGGCGTTCCAGTCGACATAGACTCTTGGGAAGCTTCGTTTGCACGAGTTGTGTCCTGAGACTGAGACATCGGATGAGTGGGTGCCCCGAACCCGAAAGCCCTTAGCCCCAAAGGCCTAAACCCTAAAACCTTCAAGCCCTGAACCCTAGACCTTCATTTATGGCACCCCTTTGAATTCAAGGTTTCTTATGGCACCCTCAGCCTCGAAGGCAAACCTTAAAAAGGAGCAGCGTCCGATGGCTCACGCCCTTGCGGAACCAACACGTCCGTAATCGATTCTGACCTCCGCCAGCGAAGAAACCAGGGGTTCATCGCTCTTCGTGTCTCAAGTCTTAGGTTGTTGCGGCTTCTCGGGTTTAGGATGGTTGCAGGTTTGGGGGTTTCAGGGTTTTAAGAAGGTTAGCTAGGGATTCAAGAAGGTTACAAATACGGCGTTTAATCTATCAGTCTTTGTGGCCTTTGTAGCAATCAAAGCTGCACAGAGACCCGAGGCCCGAAAGAGTATTTCAGGATCCAGGGTAAGGAAACACCCTAAGCCCCCGCGGAAAAGCATTCTGACTCTTGCCCCCTTACACCTCCAAAGCCCTACACGCCGTGAGCCTAAAGCTCCCGAAGCCTGCATTTTCTGTAAACCGTTTTCATTCGAGACCTAAAACCTGTAAAGGAGTTCAAAAACCATAAAAGCCTGCACACCCTCAACCAAGACCATAAAGTTTGACTAACCCGAAAGTTCCTAAGACTCAACAAAGCATCCAAAGTCGCCGAGCCCTAAACCGGAATTTGGATGCACCTGCCACACGGAAGGCGGCCATCCGAAAGCTCCATCGTCAGCTGGGCTTAAACCCTGATACCATCATGGGCCTGAAGCTTGCGCAGTTTAGAGGATTTAGGGTTTAAGCGGTTTAGGGTTTAGGGCTTATAGAGGTTAGGAGCAAATCCTTAGGGCTTTTATAAGTTCGGGTGTAGAGGAGATCTCGATGCTTCCGGTGTCATTGGTGGGCCAGTCCCCGAGTTCCAGGGCGTATGTCAGCGGCCGTTTTCGGAACTGACGCACGCATAATTAGTCCGAACTTGTCTTGTTGGAGGGCTCATGGATGTCGTGCCGAAAGGCATGCATGCATGGATGGATGGATGTATCTATGTCTGCTTTTTTGTTTGTCCGTCTGTCCGTATGAGTGCATGCATGCAGGTTCGTCTGTGTGTATGTCTGTACCCTTTTCTGTATATGTTGGCGTCTGTGTCCGCACTCGAAAGTTATAGGAAGATGTGTGTACGTGTTTCAGTTTGCGCGCATGTCATACAAAATGTTGGTGGCTGCTGATGGCACGAAGCAGCACCGAACTCCGAACCCGAACTAAACTGTAATGCCGAAGCCCCACTTGGTCAACCTAAGCCCGAAACCCTTAACCCTTAACCCTTAAAGCCTAAGTCAGTCGGAATCTCTCTTTTGCAGTTGCTTGGACTTCTGGGTTTGTGCAGCTTCTGGCTTCCGATTGTGGGGTGGGGCACAGTGTGGGGCACGGCCCCACGCCTTATCACCCTAATTAAGCTATACCTATAGGCTCCATAGTAGTTCCTTTTGGGTTTACCCCAAAAAGGAACTACTATGGAGCCTATGAGTATAGGCCGCACTCTAAACCTATCCTCCGCCCCAAGCTCACTCAACGAGTTTGAGTTAACGGATTACACGGCCCTCGTTTTGAACACCGAAAGCCAGTGTTTCCGCACAACTTTTTGTTCTAATCAACGTATTCATACAGTTGCATTACTACTTGTGAATGTTCGTGTGCAGACCCAGTCGTATGCATGTAATTGACACAACTCTCAGCTTGGATGCCCAATTATTGCAGCCTCGTTCCCGGGTTCTGGTGTGTCGATTCCATTCAGGCTGATAGTCTTTCCAGCACAGGGTTTAAACTTTAAGAGTTGGCATGGTGTATATGTAGAGCTCAGCGACTGCACACCAGTGAATTTGGAATTGAGTCTGCCGGATACCTTCTGTTTATACTAACAGATCACTGAGTCAGCCCGACCTAAACCCAAAACCCTAAACCCCAAAACCCGAAACCCCTACCCCCCCAAAACCACAAGCCCCAAATCCCCTAAACCCTAAACCCCAAACCCTGAACACTACTGTAAAACCAAGGAAGTTCTTGCCCTTCACGGAGGTGTCCCTGGGCTTGCTCCTGGATCGCAAACTTGGGGTTGGGGTTTAGGGGGAAGGGTTAGGTAGGGTTTAGAGTTTAGGGTAGTGTTTCGAGAATTTGGATTCCGCTCGAGCTCCAGAGTTGAAGGTTTCGTCAGGGGGCGGGCTGAGTGATCTGAAGTCAGGAAGAAGTCCCTCAGCTGTACAAGCAGGCTCGTCTTGAAGCTAGTAGGCCGCGAGCACCAGGTCTGGCAGCAAGGGCGAGAAGCAAGCCACGCCGGTCACCGGATCGGTCATCCTGCGATACCTGCAACTCGGCCACGAAGAACATCTAGCTGGGTTTCAGCAAAGCTGTGCTGCAATAATCACAAAAAAAGCAACCAGCTTCTGATGAACTCAATAACTCTACAGCCTAAACTGCCTAATTATAAACCCTAGAATCCCTAGAGCCTGGCAGGAGGGAAGAAAAGAACCGTTAAAGAACCTAAAGTTGCTGGTTCATTGGCTTGGGCTCTATAGTATGTGGAACCTTTGGCTGAGTTGCCTGTACCTACCAAGACCCCCCGCCCCCCACGGATGTCGCTTCGTGCCAATAAAGCTTTTTCAGGGTGCCCGCGAGCAGGATTTGTAGTCATATTGCCCCTTTCAGGATAACTGCATTCTGTGTTTGTTAACTTCTGTTTCGCAGGTTGCTGTCTCTTACAAGTCTTACGATGTGTCAGTAAGGATTCCAGCTCATAGGACCCGAGATGCCGCATCTCCGAAGAACTTGGAACTCTGAGAGTTTGTGCTTGAGGTAGCAAAAGAGGAGTCACTGTTGCCTTGCTGTTGTTGCAACTCTTGCGGTTGCTAGCGCCTAATGAGCCCTTCGACTACCACCGAGCACATTCACACACTGGACAAGCCGAAGCCAGTGCTGACAGGGTGAAAAGTTGTTTAAGGACGATTTAGGGTCCGATGGTTAAGATTTACATACCTGTCCGGGAACTTCTGCAGTCAAAATTTCAATCGGAAAGCAGGGCTGCGTGGGCCTTGCACTTATCATCACGAAGAATTTGTAGAGCCTCTCAGGAACGAGGAAGCGGCCAACGCGGCAGTCGAGCGATTGAAAGGCCATCCCATTCAGACGCTCCGAGGCTGAATTGTTGTGGCGTTGTAGCCTGTACCATTTTGTGGGATTTCAGGCGTGTTCGCGTTGAGCTGCATCGATGACTTAGAAATGCCACTTAACCTGCATACACGAAGAGCAGCCAGGCATAGACTACTGGCATAATTGGGTTGAGGAGGCGGAGAGGGAGGAGGAGAGGGGGCGAGTGGCAATCTGCACCCAGGGGTGAGGAAGTTAGGAACAGCCCAAATTCAAGCTCAGGCTCGAAAGCCTAAAGCCATGACTGTGACTACCCCACAGTTTGAAAAGTGGCGGTGTGCAAAATTAAGTTTCTAAGCACCGGAATCTTAAGCCCTAAATTCCCAAATTTGATTCCCTCAAGCCCAACAAGCGCGCAGCGAAGGTCCTCGGGTGTGACAAAGCACTTGGGTGCTAAGCACGCCACCCCACCGAAGTGGGTCGTCCAGAGGAAACAGCAGGCGATGGGTTTGCACATGGTTTTACTATAGGGGCCTAAATTAACTACCTATACTATTTTTGGGGGTTCCTTCGTATGATTATAGTATAGTGGGCCCCAAAACCTAGTCGAATTATTTAGGCCCCTACATGAACTTCTTGATTCTTGGGGTTTAGCGGGCGAGCTCCATTCAAGCCTGTGTGAAAAGGCCCTGCGCCCTCAACCCTAAACCTGCGGCTCGACAGCAGTTCTGTGAATCTGCACTTCTGGCTGTTTTCTGTTGTGATACTTGGAGGTTCATGCGTAGTTAGAAGTGGAGTTAGAAGCCCCCTTTCAATATGGGTTATAAAGTGTTGTAATTATAGTTACAGTTATACTGCTTACTACGCCACTTAGAACTACCCATGGACCTCCAAGTAGGGATACCCCCTACATACCCCGACCTACCTTCATCCTACCCTTCACCCTTGGAGCCCCCGGTGGTATGACCCCCGAAACCCTAAACTGAGCATGTCCGTCGCTTTGTGCTTTTTCACCGACACCCAATAGCCCATACCCTCAAATCCTAAACCCAACAGCTTTAAACCCAACCCTCACCTTGTATACTAGAGCACAAACTCCCCCAAACCTCAAGGAAGCAGAGCCACCAACGGAAAGGCATCTCATGACCCCCTCTCTTTATAGCCAGGAAAAGCTTCTTATAGACCCCCTCAACCTGAAACCCCAAACCCCAGCGCCTAAACCTAAACCCCCAAACCCTGAAGCAAGGCCGTTGCAGCCTCTGAAGCCCTAGCCGCTGGAGCCCCTGAAGCCCCAAACCCCTCAGCCTGACAGAACCCTGCAGCAGCCCTCATACCGAAATTTCTTTAAATCCTAAACCTTACAACTCCTCTCCTAATTCTATACTCCAAACCCTGATTCCTTTAAGCCCAGAAACTTTCTTCCGACGATCTAAAACTCTCAACCAACCCGCAGGAGGACGAGCAAAAGAAGATCACAGGCGGTACTACAGATAGCAGCACCTGAGCATGTCGAGAATCAGAGTTTGAGCTTCGTAGGGTTTACGTTTTTTTGGTGTTTTTGTTGTCTTAAGGTTTTAGGTATTAGGGTTTTTTGCTTGGCATTAAGGCGTCCCAGGCAAAAACGGTTTGTGTTGAGCCTGCCCGTATAGTCCCTGCGCAGCCATAGGGTTTATAGTAGCGCATCTTGGTAAATCCGAAGGCTTGGACCAAGCAAGTTGCGGACTCTCCCATCCCGGCCAGAGAAAAGCAAACCAGACCACTTCTTGAAACAACTACCTCCCACCTTCCCCCAACAATAAAAACTCCCAAAACCCCCCACTACAATTTCTCCTAAACCCTACACACTGAACCGTCCTAGGCAAAGGCAAGAAGTTGAAGACGGAGGAGGGTCAAAGCCAGAAGGTTTCGGGCTCCGTGCATCGCGTCTCGATGGCGGGCTACGGTGCCACTGGGTTGCTCTTAGAGGTTCTCCAATGCTGATTGTTTCATGTACGTGTGCCTGGCCACAATGAGTGCACATGTGTGTGTATATACATATATACATATATACACACACGTAGCCTAGTAGATAATGTGGTAGTTGTTAGTATATTTTAGTACAGCAGTCTGGAACGGAATGGAACATATGATCTTGTCCCTCAAAATACAATATGCCATTATTTAGTTTTTGTTCTGTTTGTATAGCAGTTTCAAATATTTACAAGGCCAGATCAGATAATCTCGTTTAATGATATGATCTATGTAATATATGTGTATATATATATATATACACACACACATACGCACACATATACACATGCCTAGGAGGCCCGGAGGCGTGCCGAATTCTTATGATTGGTTTTGATGTTTGGACCTGGCCAGCCCAGGGTTTAGGGTCTAGGCGGCTAGGATGCCGCTGACAGCAACCTGTCCCACCCCAGAACCCTATAAAGTTTCATGCTCAAGAACCTCGTCTGGCTGTGTCCGAGTTGCGAGAGGGTGGACTTTCATGCTCAGGTCATCAAATCGCCCGAGTGGGGTGAAGTTCTCTGGCGTCAGTATGAGCTGCCCACAAACCTTCGCTGCCTGCGCCTAGCTGGAAAGCTGAGTGTTTTGAATTCGGAATTCGGGGCGGTCCAGAAATTTCACTGCAACTGTTAACGACTTACAGGCTGCTTGGAAACAGTCGGCTTTCTTAATGAACATGCCACAAGGACCGCTAGGTCTAGGTCATGTCGCAGACTGTTTTTGCTGGAACACTTGCTTGCGTTTCACATGCATCGACGTCTTTGTTTGGCCAGGCAGTCACATACTCAAGTCCGGCTGTTCTGCCTGAGCCTAGGCAATTCACTGACCGCGCAAAGTTTGTCTCGCAAGTGGAGCACCGGGAAGACTACCGCAGGCTGAAGGACAGGAGTTCTGCGGCTATTTAGGGTATGTATCGGGTCAAGGGCACCTGAAGAACCCTAACCCCACGTCTGAACCCACAACCCCAGAAACCTTAAAGCCCAGAGTCGTGGCTGCTTCAGGAGATGGTGGGGAAGCAGGTGCGAGCTTCCGGTTCTCAAGAGTTGTTGGGTTTGCTCCGGGTTCGGAGTTTAGGAGTGAAGGGATCTAGGATGACTACGGGGGGTTTTGAGGTTATGGTTTTGGGGTTTTGTGTGTAGGGGTTTTCGGGCTCAGGGTGTTGAGGTTTTTCGAGTTTTCGGATAAAGTCTAGAGGTGTTAAATTCGGGTTTGGATGTTGGTGCGAGCCTGTTTACATATATGTATGCATATAGAAAGAGACATGTGTCTGTACATACATACACATACATACAGTACGTACGTTACATATATACGCATACATGTATGTGGGTACATATATACACATGTGTATATAGAGTATATAACTACTGGTTGTTTTACATGTTTGAAGGTTTTGAGCTGTATGTGTACATATCTACATATAGTTAGGTCGGTTAGACGATAGATAGCTAAGTAGATAGTACGCAAGACAGATGGATAGATAAATTGATTGATTGATTGACTGATTGATTGACTGATTAACTGATTGGTTGATCGGCTGATAGACAGATAGGGCTGTGGGCTGGGGTTTCAGGATGCCCAGTTACCTTCACTGAACCGGTCGTTTGATGGGCAGCAGTTGATCTGTGACGGAATGTGTTGTCAAGGTGCAGTCTTGAAGAGCGGTGTCTTTGGATTTACTTGTGCGACCGAGGATGTGCTGAATTCCACAGTACCCTTGCACCGAGCCGCCGTGAAGCCGAACGCCAAAGGTCCGAATCCCAACACTAACTCCTAAAACCCCTTGAGCCCTGCGCCCCTAAAGCTGCTTTGGTGTGGCCTCATATGGGCGCGAACCGTAGAACGAGTGTGACGTGAGTAAATTGCCAGTTAATGTTCCTTACCGGGCCAATGTGCCTGCGACCCTTGTCTCAGTAACCTCCCGACCCCTCGCCTGAGTTGCCCGAGCGCGAGTGCCGAAAAACCTCTATAGGCACTACCCCTCAGGGTACATGTACTATTACTTGATAGGTATTTTGGGCGCCAGACGTTTCTACTGTACCATTACTTGGACCCTTTGGGTACCCGAGTTCTTACCACCTTCATGTGCAGGTAGAGGCCGAACTCTACAAGCTGCCGGATGGCCAAGTCCGGGCGTCGCACGTCCTCTGGCCGCAACGGTGATTTCGGGGCTAGACCTCAAAACGTATGCCCCTTGGAGCTAAAGGAACAAGGGACTTAGAGTCTTAGAGGTGTGCGTGTCAGCGTGTGAGGATACAAGACTTGCGTGCAGGGTTACACTACGGCAGTCACTAGGGTATTCAGCATGGTGTCTAGGCAGCAACAAGTGTTATGAACATATATCAAAGCGTACGTAGTAGCCGCCGTTCTGGTATTCCGAAGGACGACGATGTGTACAGAACCTGCCAGAGTACACAAGCCCTTATACACTGCAAGACATCTCCGCTCTGGCGCAGTCCGTGCCTTACTCCAACCTGTAGAATTTCTCGATTCTACAACCCTTTTAACGAACCCTTAGCATGGAACCCATAAAGCGGAGCCCCGTAAACCCTAAACCCTTGCTACAGAGCCCCACAAGTGGAGCCTGAAGGTCCGAGCAGTTGCGCAGCACGCGCTGCCGGAAGCAAAGCCAGGGGACGATGCGGCTTGGCAGAATCTGAGGATGCCGAGGTTTCGGGTTTATGATTTATGGGGTTATGAGTTATGAGTTTCTGGGTTTGGGGATGGGCATGGGTTTAGGGTTGAAAGTTCGGGGTGATGATTCGCATGTGAAGTTGTTTGGTCTGAACCCGAAGCTATATGTTCGCCCCTGGTGGAGAATGTCCATGACAAAAGCGTTGGTTGGCTTCAGTTAAGTCAAGCACTATCAGTCACGTGTCACGCACAAAACGGGATGAGATGAACGTGGCTGTTGGCTTATGTTTCCCACTTCCACACCACGTTAAGCAACTTCGAACATTCCTACATTCTAGCCACTCACATCTGAAGCTAGGCAACAGAAGGTGCCGAGCCTGATGTTTCACAATTCCTGATGTGTCTTTTCACTATCATCGTAGTTGCTGGTAGTTTCGATCTGGCGGAGCTTCTTTCTTCACACAGACCCTGTCACACAACAATCGGCACTGTAAACCCCAAACCCTGATACCCCAAGCAAGACAGTTCTGACCCGATAGAGGGTCAGTATCAGGGCACAAACGCCCTGATGCTGATCTTCTTACGCATCCGAATTGTCTGGCTTGTGCTTCAAGGATCCAATTCCAATGGCCGAGAGGCCAGGTAACGAGGAGTTGCGTGGTGGGAGGGGCTTGGGATCAGTGTTCCGGAGGGATAATAGTGGCTCCTTTACGGGTTCTATAGTGCGAAGTAGTGCAACGGTTACTATAGGGGGTCAGGGTTCAGAGTTCATTATCTGCCCGGGTTAAAGCGGCTATAGTTTCAAACCCGCGTGTGCATGTATGCATGTGCATATCATCACATACATAACTAACTAATTACCTACCTGCATACTTGTAGACAACCTGCAGACAGCACCTGCATTACATACTAACGCGAAGTTGCACCCAAACATTGGGGAGACAAAAGACCTCGGGGGGTGGGATGTGTAATCTGTCTTTCTGGTAACGTTCTGCACAAATGTTTGCAGCTTCTTTCAGCTCAGTAAAGTTTGGCAATCGGAACCCTTGCACTTGAAGTAGCAGGCGAAGTAGGAGGCAACAACAAGTAGCAGGCTTTATACGTTGTGATTCCAGTTCTAAGCCCCAAAGCCCAACTACAATCAGGCATCGCAGCATGCCCGCGCTCTCATTTCAAAATGACCTAAACCCTATACACCCTAAATAAACTACCCAGGGGCCCCAAAGTAGTTCCTTTTTGGGTGTGTCCTCTTTTTTGGTTAGGGACTCTAACATAGTCCCCAAGAAGGAACTACTTTGGGGCCCCTGGGTAAGCCCAAATCCGCTGCTGAAGCCGTGGGAAAGCTGAACCGATTGTGTCAACCCAAGGAAGTCGCAGAAAATACAAGCCGTGAGCCCAGAACAGTCGAGTCCCAAGCCCAAAATCGAGAAGTGTGCCGGAACCCCACAGTCTTAAGCCGTATAAACCTGCATAAGCACACAACCCAAGGCCCTACATTTCCTAAAAACGCTATACACAAACCTGAACCCTGAAACCCACGAGCCTCTTGCAGAACAAATCCCTACACCTGCATGTCTATCAGCCCCATCACTCGACATAGCCCCGAAACCTGAGCAACAAAAAATAATACCTGTTACAAATATGTAAAACAGCAACATCCAGGAGGATGGTCCACCCAGCTTTCCCCCGATGCCTGGTATCTGGGTCTTTCTTGGACAGGTCTCAGGGTTTCCGGACGTCGAGACTTACTGACCAGAAGTTCAGCTATGAGGTTTCTTTTCATTAAGGGTGTGTACGAGTATCTGGGATTTGGGCTGGGGGTTCAGGATGTCTTCCAGGCAGGGGCGGCAGTTAATCCCGAAAGGTTCGGGCTTAGGGTTTAGGCTTTTAAATTTTGTTTCCCAGAAATTGGGAATCCCAAAGATTGCTGGGAACGTTTTGCAAAGGCATGTCCAGGTCAGCATTGCATGACTCACGCAGCGTTTTTGTTGCTGGCTTCTTTTCAATGCTTCAGGCCGTAGTGGGAGCTGCATTAGTGTCCGACGCCGAAACCTTCAACAAAGCCCTATAAAGGCCGTAGAGTTGTAGGGTTTATGGGGCTGTATATTCGAAGAGGATTCAGAAGGATTTTGGGGGTTTGGCGGCTGAGGGATTAGGAGTCAACGATTGCGCTGTATCCTGTGTTCAAGCAAACTCCACCAAAGTCCAACCCGGCCTCAAGCCGATGTCTTTGCCCCAGCAACTTCTTGAAGCCTTACACATGCCGATGCTGAACTCTGAACCCTGAAGTGCCCTTCTGCGACAAACTTTAGAAACCGCTAAAGTGCCTTTCAGAGAGCCGCCCCACTCAACCCTCACCCTAAACCCCAAAGGGTTTTAGCCGTGTGTGTGGCTTACGAAGGGTCCGGATATGACTGCTAACTGAGTAGGTCAAACTCACAAAAACTGCGTCCGAGTCGCGAGAGTGTCAATCCCAAACCCTAAACCCTAAACTGCTCTCAAACCCAGGTATGCCCTTCCCTGGCGGCCCGCCGCCACCGGGCTTCCCACCGGGGGCTCCTCCTTTCATGGATCCGGCAGCTTGATGGCGCTTTAGGCTTAGGGTTCCCTTATATGACAGTCTGTTAAGGATGACTGCGAGGGCTCTACAAGAGTTGGGGGTTTTGGGGCCTAGGGAGCTTAGGGCTTGAAGATTTGAGGCTTTGGAGGAAAGTTCAAGGCAAGGTTGTGTCGTTACAGGGTCTCGAGTCTGCAGCATCGGCTTTGGTGTGACGAGCTCGGGGCTTTGGGTTTGTGGTTCATGGTTTTCGCTTCCGGTTTTTGGATCAGGAGGCTTTCGGCATGGTAGGAGACTCTCATGACCTCATTAGGCCTGGCAGTGTTTTCAGTAGATCCTCACCATGAATGTATCGTCCCTGTTTCGTCGTGGCAGTGCTGTTTATGCCAATGCTATCCTCGTCGGTCTCTCCTGGCGGTTTGCGATTTTGATCGGAATCCCCTAAACCCTAAACCGCATGTTCGTTGCACACCCGTTGCCAGGGGTTAGGGTCATCGGGAACCTCATAGTCGTTTCCATGCACTTCTGTGTCTCCACGGCCGTACAGCCATGCCCCCCACAGTGAACTCCACACCTGCCAATCATTAGTAACCTAGAAGTGCCCACCCTGATTTGGGGTGAGTTGTCGTGTTGTTTTGGTAAGGGCTCTATTCGTACATGTCGCTGCTAATCTTTCAGGCTTTGACATGCTCTGCTAGACATGAAGCAGGTTTTGCAAGGGAATACTATCACTGATCGCTGAGGCCTCTACGTTACCGCCTAGGATCTCTAAACCTGGATACAGGATCCTCTGAAGCATCCGCAGGCTTTTGCCCACATGATGGGTATGCCGCCGGGAATGCCACCACCGTGGGCAATGGGGCGGGACCCTTCGTCGCAGAAAGTTTCTCAAACTGAGTGATCTATTTTTCATAGCCCACACGGCATGCGTGCGTGACTCAGTCTACTTAAAGGATCATGGGACTTAATAACGAGGGTTATAATTAGGCTCACTATACTTATAGCTACTTATAACCCCAATTAAGGTACTTATAAGCTTAGTTACTAAGTCCCATGATCCTCCAAGTATGCATGTACGTACCCAGAGCCCAGAGCCTCGTCGCCCGCGATCTGTGCAACTGGGCTTTGAGGGAAGTCCGAGCTTCGGGAGCTCTATGCCGCAACTAGAATAAAACCCTAAACCCTAAACTGAATAGCCATACCACAGAGACGTCAATAATTATACTAGCAATAATATGACCACAGTGACCATAGCAACTGTAATGATTAAGCAGAATACCTGTAAGAACTGGTACAGTTTCCTGCCCCAGCCTGGAAGTGTCGGCAGAGTCGCGACTCAAGTGTGTGTGGTTTCCCCTTCAGAGTAGCGGAAGCTTCCACTCCGTGGATAAAGGCTTGCGGCAATTTGCAGTCACGGCCAGGACAAGAAGAAGAAGGAGAAAAAGGATAAGAAGGACAAGAAGGAGAAGAAAGAGAAGAAGAGCCTTGGCAAGAGAATCAGTTGGGCGACTGCCGCAGGCAGTGGTGGGATTTCTGTCACCTGCGACCATGAGCCGCCGGAAGTACAAACGTTGTAATAATTGTAATATGTGTAAATAAATACATACATATATATATATATATATTTGTTAATTTATGTATTTACACATATACATGTACATATATTTCGAAATTTGTAGGTGTATATACATACACACATGTATATACATATATAGATATATACACCCTTCCGTGAAATAACACTGACATACATAAACATATAAGTATTTGCAAAAAACAGGTATGTATCATATACATGCATATATATATATATATATATATTACGAAGTTATAGGTGTATATATATATACACACTTACATATACACATATATATATATATATATATACACACATATATACATGTACATACACTTTTGTGAATTAACACAGAAATACAGAAACACACCAATTAATATTTCAAAAAAGAACATAGGTATGTATCATATACATGTATGTAGGTGTGTGTATATATATATATATATATACATACACATATAATATATATATATATATATATGTGTGTGTATATATACATATATATATATATGTATATGGCCCGCGCCCGAGGAACCCTCTCCAATTCAATGTTTGCAAGGGGTGTTATGGTGGTCTCTTGAAGTAGGCAGTTTTACGGGTGATGTTTGAAGCATTCCAAATTTGAGAGTGTTTCGTCGACAGATCACTGAGCACCTCCTGCAAGACCCCAAGTCCCCATAACGACCCAAAGGCAACCTTAAACCCTGAAGGCTAACCACCCCCAAGCCCTCAACCCTCACAGCAGCACTTGTAATACCCCTTACAGGAACACTAAATCCCACATAGAAAAGGAAGGCGAAAGCAGCTTCCGGCTCTGAGCCACGACCGAAGAAGCGAAAGATCGACGACGACGACTTCTGATCCGAAGGGCACATGCATGCGTCTGAACTTTGCTACGAAGGGGTTTCTTAAAACAAGTTTGGGTTCCAGGTTTTGTGGTTGAGAGAACTAAACTACCCTGGGTGTCTACTACATCTGGAAACGGTCGTACGGCAATCTTCTGTATGTCACAGTCATACTAGCATCAGCAGGGGTGTCGTGGTTTGTGATTCTTATGCCGATCGTATCAGCAGTAGTGGGACTCGCAGTTATATTACTAGTATTATTACTAGTAGTAGTTAGTAGTAGTAGCAGTAGTACTACAGTAGTAGTAGTAGTAGTAGTAGTAGTAGTAGTAGTAGTAGTAGTAGTAGCAGTAGCAGTAGCAGTAGCAGTAGCAGTAGCAGTAGCAGGAGTAGTAGTACTAGTACTAGTACTAGTACTAGTACTAGTACTAGTAGTAGTAGTAGTAGTAGTAGTAGTAGTAGTAGTAGTAGTAGTAGTAGTAGTAGTAGTAGTACTAGTAGTAGTACTAGTACTAGTACTAGTAGCAGTAGCAGTAGCAGTAGCAGTAGCAGTAGCAGTAGCAGTAGCAGTAGTAGTAGTAGTAGTATTAGTAGTAGTAGTACTAGCAGCAGTAGTGGTAGGAGTAGTCGTAGTCGTGATGGTGCTGGTAGTGAGTCCTGGCAGCCACATTGATTCGGGTTTAGGGTTTGCATCGCGCCTTGGCTGTGGCTTTTGTGTCGCACGGAGAGGGCCCGTGGCAGGGTCTGCAGAGAACGAGAGGCGCATCGAAAATCTGTGCTGGGCTTCTCAGTCATGCGAGTAGGTAGAGGGAAGGAGTGTAAACTTGTAGTATCTTCAAGACTTGTTTATCTACAGGTCTTCAATCCGGAGGCTTTCGCTGTAAGAACGGACGGTTTGCCAAAGTCATCTACAGAACATAGGTCTGTCAGCTCCAAGGTAAGTGGTAATCATCGCAATGACAAGTTTCCGATAGCAGCTCTACCACCACCAGTCACCGTCACCGCGCAACAAACGCAGGGTCCAGATTCTTGACATTATGAGCAGTAGGATGTGGCAAGAATGGACATCACAGAGAGGCGGTTCGTGACGTTCCGGCTTACGGGTTTAGTGTTTTATGATTTCTCTTTTAGGAAACGGGACTTGAGATTCGTGGGTTGGGGTCCTAGATTTAGTACTTGCCCAGGCTCGAGAACGAAAAATCGGGCATAGAGTCATGGAGTCAGTCATAGGTTGTTTAATGTCCGTGGCGCTTCCCTGCTTAACAAAGCTTTGGGCCTCAGAGAGTTGCTCCACTCCCCAAGCGTGTAGCACCAAGGTATTCGCAGCGAATCCCTGGCAAGAATGACCCTAAACCGCCAGAAACGGTCCATGGCACCAGCACTAAGGCATCGCGGCCATTATGGACCTCGGCCAGGAGGAACAAAAAGTATGGGGCATCTAATCGCTAATCCTGACCCTAAAGCCTAGTAAGCCCTAAGTCAACTGGGCGGATGGGAAAAAAGCCCAAAACCCAAACCCTAAACCCTACTCAACACATGCCCGGAAGATCAGAGGTAGGAGGGACCCTTAATGGGGATCCCTACCCTATAAGGGGCTATTTAATGATAATATTAAGGGTATATACCTAGGGGTCCTTATTAAGGGTGTGCTTTTAAGGGGGGAGGCCGGTTCTTGTCTCGGCCACAGGACGATCGCTAGGCAGAGACACCCAAAGCACACGAGTTGTGATGGGTCCCCGTGAGGTTGCAAAAGCAGTTTGGGAGTTTCCGAAAATTAGGGATACCTTATTCTGGGGTCCTCATAATAAGGATCCTATTATTTAGGGTACTATATTGGGGTCCCCTATTTTCGGAAACTCCCATTTGTCAGTGTCCCCGGTTAAACAGGAATGTTGAACTTAGGTCTTAAATTTCACAAGCCATCAGAGCTCATCTCCTAAGTACCCTGAGCCTCAATAACCCTATTGCCTAGGATTTTTCGTAACATCCTGAACCTAAAATCATGGCACAGCTTAAATAAAAGGGATGACGAAAGACATCCCCGAAACCCTGCAGTAACCCACCATGAGCTACTGTCTCGTAGGGTCTATATAGATTTCATCGGAGGGTTTGCAACAAGAACTACAAGAAGATAGGTTGTGTAAGGGAATCCCCTAACCCCTAAACCCTCAACTTGTTAGACAGGAGTATGGCCTGATGCTGGACTCCGAGATCTCACTCTACGACCTACACGCGCAGGCCAGCTAACGCATTTGTTGGCTGCTGCAAGAAACTCCGATGGGCAAAAGGATTGCGAGCTCCGCACTTCTTTGTCGAAGAGGGGCGAAACAGTCACAATTCTACGTTTTTTGGTTGGGCACCGCCTGGCCTGAGTCGGTCGGTTCTTGCAGCAGTCTCTGTAACGACAAGGCGGAACAATGAGAGCTTGTCTCGGCAGATATCCCTGACAAACAGCATCATTTAGCGTGAAGTGCAACTCTGAGGAATCCATTCCTTATAGCCTTTGATTGAAGCCTCGAGCCGGGGCATTTGGGCGGATCGTTTGGGTTTAGTGTGGTGATTGCTGAGCAGGCTTTCGTGCAATGCTAGACCAACTCCACTAGTCAGCCCAAGCTAGCACCGCCTGCCAAGGATTGCAAGCTGCAAGCCAGACTTGAGGTACGCACCCTATAGACATGCCTGTTCCTTGCGCAGACGCAGCTGTCTGAGGTGCTTAGGGGACTTTTCCCTAAGCCTGGGCCTTGGGGAAATTACCCCAAGGGCCCAAAGGGCCCAAAGGGCCCAAGCCCTCCCTTAGGGATCAGGGCATCATGAGCGATGGAACCTTGAGTGCGAGGCTGGCCTTGGTTCGGGTGAGCAATGTTAAATGATGTCGTTCCTCAGCTTGTAAGATGCCTTCGAAGGCGTGAGTTGTGTGTGTTGTCTTTGTATGCTTGCATGGTTAGTGTAGGACATTGCGACGCTGCAGAGGGAGAGTGTACTGGTTTGTACGGGGTGAAGGCTGCTCGTACGCAAGACAGGTTCCCAGACGGATCTTCGTCCAGATCAGCGCCACGTTTTGCAGGGTTGGGGTCGCGCGTCCATCTCTGCGCTTCACTGGGAGTAGAGCCTGTGAAGGAACTGAGCTTATGTACCATAATGAGGGAACGATCCATACTGCGGTAACTTAAACTTAACTCCCTAACGAAAAGGACGTGGCACACCTGCAGTCTGCTGTCTAGATACTGGGTCCCCTTGAAAGCTTCCTTCCCCGAGAGGGATTCAGGCAAAAGGGCCTGGTTCGCCAGCATATGCCCCAGTCCCAGAACGGGCTCCGTGCATTGGAGCACGATTAGGTCGTTTCTACAATCCGAGCTCTTCAGGATTTCGGAGGCAAGCGATGGCCCAGAACTTTCCTAGACTAGAGCTGCGCTACTCCGACTTCGTCGCCACCCCCAGTAACCGCAAAGTGGTCCCACTGGGACCAGTAGCAGGTTGTGTCAACAGCAATACCAGCATCCAGGCGACGCGTTCTAACCCAAACTATCTCCGAATTTGGTATTCCATGCGACCTTTATCCACAGAGCTCCACATTCTCGACCCTCCGCATCAACCGAGATTAAAAAGACACAGCAGCTCTGAAAAGTGAATCTGCTGGGCGCAGGGCTCCTCTGGCCAACCGCTTGGGCGACAGCTCCTTAACAGCAGAGACTCCCTTTTGCTTAGATTAGGGGTTTTTAGGGTTTTGGGTTTAGGGCTGTTTTTGAGAAGATGTCGCCGGATCGCGGATTCAGCTTTACTGGCATCACATACTGGCACCAGCCCGGATGTTGCGCACGTTGGATCTTCACTTCTGCGGCCCGCTTTTAATGTGCCCTTCGCCCAGCAACCCACGTTCTACCCTGCGAAGGTCAGAAGAGCTCCCAGCCGAGGAGCCGGCCTTTGTTACATGAAGATGTGTTGCTTTGATTACTTGCCTTGCATCCAGCTAGGCCAACCCGACGCAAGCATCTGGAGAGAAAACTGCTACTTTAAAGGTTTAGGTGTAGGATGTTGTCTGAGATGATACCACCTGCACGAGGATGATGTTCGGATGTGGGCTGCCAGTATACACTCTGTTTTTGATCGCTAGGATGAGCCTCACACCGCGCAGCGGAGCACGACCAGCTTGGCTACTTGACAGAATTGCTGAACCAGAGCACTGCTTCAGATACTATCCCTTTGCAGGATTTGGGAGTTTCCGAAATTCGGGGTGGCCTTATTTTGGGGGTCCTTATAATATTAATAAGGATCCTACTTTTTGTTTAGGCTACTATATTAGGGTCCCCTACTTTTCGGAAACTCCCTTATAGTACCCTTATAGATCCCTCATAGTAATCCTTATAGATCCCTTACTTTGCAGGATTTAGCTCGCATTCTGACTTGAGAGTCATAGACCGGAGGCCCGGGTGCGGGTGTCTTCCCTGGAAGATCTTCGAGGCTAAACTTGCCCAAGAACTCGCACGGCCGGACGCGAGAATACGAGGGCCTAAAGGCTTAAATAACACCAATACTGCTGGCGGGGTTCCTTATGATGATGATTATAGTATGTTTGTTTCAGGTCCTTACGTTATGCTGTCATTGCTGCCAGTGTCAGTATTTCCGTAGCTGGTCAGCGCAATAACCAGTGCAACTGATAACTCGAAGCAATCTGCAAGCTCTGCCCGAGGTTCACCCCCCGGGATGCAAACAACGCACTCCGGAGCATAGGCCTGTTTCGGGGCCTCATGAGGTTTGGGGTTGACGGTTTCGGGGCCTTGTGGTTTCAGGAAGGAGCTATTCCAAAAGCTCTTTCTCTTTCTGTCTAACTCTCTCTCTCGCTCTCTCTCTCTCTCTCTCTCTCTCTCTCTCTCTCTCTCTCTCTCTCTTCTGCTTGGTAGTTCCCACACTCACCTCCACCCCACCTTTGGAAGCCCGTCACTTTCGTACCCAAGGATTTAGTGCCGTCGGGCTCTGCAACTAGAACATTGGGCTTTCGGTTGCGGATCAGGATCAGGG